GTGAGCTGCATGGATTTTATGAGAACAAACTGACCGCTTTTGTCATAAATGTTAATAAGAAACAAATGGGATCAAAGTTATTCGAACTGTATTTCTACATTTTGGTGTGCTTCTCTTTTTCAGCATTCTGTCTTTTTCATTTTTTAAAGTAAGAATGCCTTTTCCTCTCTTTTATGTTTAATTTATTGTCTACCAAATGAGAAAACATTTGAGCTGTTAATTTTATATCAAGATGAAACTTCCTGCCTTTGGGATTTTAGATGGTTTATAGTGAATAATCCTCCTCTGTTTTCTGTCTCCCTAGGATAATGGAGAAACTAGGAATTTTCCCTTGTGCAACTAAGCAGTATCAGGTGGATTAGGGAAGACTAGTATTTCTTATGTTTTCTTCATTTAATTTTCAGATTAGAAAGACTTCTAAACTTCCAAACTTCATACCTCATTTCTCTTGACATCAGAATTTAGCTTTCAGAACTGAGTGGGTTCATCTTCTTCTTCCAGCATGCTGAAGGAACTATATCACATCCATCTCTGAAGCCATTCAGTGAACAAGGTGTCTTAAAAACATACGTGTAGTCCAGAGTAGGAAGGTGTGGGAGAGGGTTACATAGAGGGAAATTTCAATCTATAAATGTGGAGTCCTGGTTTGGTGCTGTAGGATAAACATTAGAATGTCAGCCACAAGGACAGTGGTTCAAATCCACCAGCTCTTCCTTAGAAATCTTATTATAGGGTCACTATGTGTTGGGACCAAATCAACAGCACTTAACAACATACGTGCTAACTCAGTTTAATGAAGGATTTTTGTTGTTGTTATTGTTGATATCATGCTGTTTTGTTAAGCTTTATTTTCAATGAAAACCACAAAGGTAAGATAATCACAAGCAGTATCATAGAAAATATTCTACAAGTATTTAAAACCACTTTAGTGACACCATAAAACTTTGAAAATTTAAAATAAATTCAGTTAATTGTTTAAATGTTGAGATTCTTCCTACAAATCTAGAAAAAGTCTGGTTAGCCCTTTCCCCACGAACTCAATACACTAATAAGGTAATGCTTACCATGGGTTGTTGTTATTATTAAGTGCGTTGAGTCAGTTTTGATTCATAATGACCCTGTATAGAAATTCTGAGGAGCAACTGGTGGGTTTGAGCTGCTGACATTGCAACTCAAACTGACCTTGCAGTCCAGTACTTGATCCTATAGCACCACAATTTATTTTCTAAGTGTTCCTGTTGGCTAAGCCATCCCGATTCTCACTAGTCACCTTCATGGAAGCAGAGGAGTTTATCTGTCTTGTTCACTGCTATTATAAAAGCTACTAGATTGGTTCCTAGCCCAGAGTTAGGTGTCCAGTATACATTTTTGAATACAGGAAAGAATAAATATCTCATTTAATCTTTACAGCAATCCCAAATTATGAGGCTTGCATTATTATTAAATCATCTCTGCTTTGTGAATGAGAAAATTAATCAGGTTTTCTAAGTTCATAGAGCTAATACAGGGAAGAAATAAGATTTGAACTTTCTACTTCTATTGTACACACATACACAAATTGCTGTTGATGTTGTTAGGTGACATTGATTCAGCACAGACTCATTGTGACCCTATGCACAATAGAATGAAACTCTGCCCAGCCCTGAACCAACCTCACAATCATTGCTAAACCAGAGTCCATTGCTGCTGCCATTGTGCTAATCCATCTTTTGAGGGGTCTTCCTCTTTTTCTCCAACTCTCAACTTTCACAAATATGATAACCTTTTCCAGGGACTGGTCCCTCCTGATAATATGTCTGAAGTATAAGAGACAAAGTCTGGCCATCCTGGCTTCCAAGGAGCATTCTGGCAGTACTTCCTCTAACACAGATTGGTTTGCTCTTTTGGCATTCCATGGTACTTTTAATATTCTCCTTCAACACCATAATTCAAATACATCAATTCTTCTATGGTCTTCCTTATTCACGGTCCAACGTTCACATGCATATGAGGTTATTGAAAATACCATGGCTTCAGTCAGACACCTTAATCTTCACACTGACATCTTTGCTCTTGAACACTTTGTTAATACACAGACTAGATAGTATTGTTGCTACCGTGTCGGTCCTTCTCATTGGGTGTCTTATTCAGTTTTGCTGGCCCTCTACTTTACTGGAGTCCTGATAGGACATTGTAAGTTAATGCGCTGGACTGCAAAGTCGGTTTGAAACACAAGGTCAATAGTTGAAACTCATCAGCTGCTCCTTGGAAACCCTTTGAAGGGTCACTATGGGTCAGAGCTTTACTAAGTATGATGTCTCTTCCAACTTGCATATCACAGTTAACAAGTCTTCCTCTAGTCCTGATGTTTTTCATATGATGCAGATTCTCAGATTATTTACTCAGCATACAGATTGAAAGGATGCAATCCTGGCACACACCATTCCTGATTTTAAACCATTTCATTCTGTTAGAAGGATTGCCTTTGGGTCTATGTACTTGTTCCTCATGAACACAATTAAATGTTTTGAAATACCCATTCTTCGAAATGTTATCCGTAGTTTGTCATGATCCATGCAGTCAAATACCTTTGCGTATGAGGAATATAAGGCAAACAATAACACCAAGAAACAATTAACCATCTGAGAACAAATGGCAGCATTTGTCCATGGATGGAGTTCTGATGTGGCACTGTGGGTTAATGTGCTGGACGGCAATGTCAGTTTGAACCGCAAGGTTTCAAGCTCACCAGACACTCCTCAGAAACCCTATACAGGGTCGCTATGGACGGGAACCAACTCAACAGCACTTAACAGCAACAACAACAGCAAAGATCAGAAGACAGGAAGTAACAGGAAAGGCTAGGTGGATCAGTAAGCACAGAGAGGAAGTGGGATGAGTGCTGTTGTTATATGGTGAGGATTGTAGTCAATGTCATGAAACAGAACACACAATGTATTATTTAATGGAAAACTAATTTGGTCTGTAGCTGTTTCTGTATTATCTTTAGCAAAACTTTATTCACTTGAGATATCAAAGAGATTGTCTGATGATTTCCACATTCTGTTGGGTCACCTCTCTTTGGAATGGGCACAAATATTGATCTTTTCCAATCAGTCGGCCAGATAATTGTCTTCCAAATTTCTTGACAGAGATGAGTGAGTGCCTCTTGTGCCGCCTCACTTTCTTGAAAGGTTTCAATTTTTATTCCATCAATTCCTGGTGCCTTGTTCTTTGCCAGTTCTTTCAATGCACTTTGGACTTCCTCCCTGAGTATCATTGGCTCTTGTTCATATGGTACCTCTTGAAATGATTGAACATTAACCATTTGCTTTTGGTACAATGACTCTGTGTATTCCTTCCATCTTTTCTTGATGCATTCTGCATCATTCAATAATTTGCCCAGAGACTCTTTCATACATTGACAGAAAACTTCCAGAGGTTCAAGCTGGATTCAGAAGAGGCCGTGGAATGAGAGACATCATTGCTGATGTATGATGAATCTTGGCTGAAAGCAGAGAATACCAGAAGGATGTTTACCTATGCTTTATTGACTACGCGAAGGCTTTCGATTGTGTAGATCATGACAAGCTAGGGACAACATTGAGAAGTATGAGTATTCCAAACACTTAATTGTGCTTCTGAGAAATCTGTACCTAGACCAAGAAGCAGTTGTTCAAACAGAGCATGGGAACACTGAATGTTTTAAAATTAAGAAAGGTGTGCGACAAGGTTGTGTTCTTTCACCATACTTATTCAACCTGTATGCTGAGCAATTAATACAAGAAGCTGGGTTCTATGAAGAAAAATGTGGTGTCAGGATTGGAGGAAGACTCACTAACAACCTGCGATATGCCGATGATACAACCTTGCTTGCTGAAAGTGAAGAGGACTTGAAACATTTACTGATGAAGATCAAAGAGCGCAGCCTTCGGTATGGATTACATCTCAATGTCAAGAAAACAAAAATCCTCACCACTGGACCAATAAACAACATTCTTATCAATGGAGAAAAGATTGAAGTTGTCAAGGACTTCATTCTTCTTGGATCAACTGTCAGCATTCATGGAAGCAGCAGTCAAGAGATCAGACGATGTATTGCATTAGGCAAATCTGCTGCACAGGAACTTTTTAAAGTATTGAAGAGCAGAGATGTCAGCTTGAGGACTAAGGTGTGCCTGACCCAAGCCATGGTATTTTCAATAACTTCATATGGATGCGAAAGCTGGACAGTGACTAAGGAAGATCATAGAAGAATTGATGCCTTTGAGTTGTGGTGTTAGAGGAGAATACTGAAAGTGCCATGGGCTGCCAAAGAACCAATAGATCTGTTTTGGAAGAAGTGCAGCCAGAGTGCTCCTTAGAGGCCAAGATGGCTAAGCTTTGTCTCTCATACTTTGGACATATTGTCAGGAGGGAACAGTCGCTGGAGAAGGATGTCATGCTGGGTAAGATGGAGGGTCAGAAAAAGAGAGGACGACCCCCAATGAGATGGATCAGCCAGGTGGCATCACTGATGGACTCAAGTGTAGCAGCGGTAGTGAGGTTGGCCCAGGATTGGACATTGTTTCGTTCTGATGTGCATGGGGTCGCTATGAGTCAGTTCCGACTCGATGGCACCTGACAACAACAATTTGGTCTGTAAGCTTTTACCCAAACTACAATACAATGTTAAAGAACAACAACAACAACAAAAATTCCTGGGCAACCAGCTTATGATATATATAAAATACCTAGGTGCTCATTTTTTATTAAGAATTATCAATAGCAATCATGTTTATTGTTTCAAAAATTCATTCATTCTTTTATTTACTTGTTTTCATAAAAAAAAAAAAAAAAATCTAATGTGATCCTATGCTGTTCCAGCCTCTGTACTATGTGCTGACCTTTAATGGGGAATTAGATAAATTAGTTGTAGAGTAATTTATAAGCAGTTATTTTCAAGGAAGAGATTTAGGAAATGACATACAAATGTCATATTTATAGCATTAGTAGCATATTAAATACATCCTCTTTTTTAGTGCTGCAATTGTATTTTCCACACTTAAACTTCTTCAGGATTCAAAAATTTTTAAGAAGTTGCTACCTGATGACACAGAAAATTCTATTCCTTCAGGAACTTTGGTATGTATGAATTCAGTGTTTATGTTGACAATACTTATTATATAAGGACTGTTGGCACACTGGGAAATTGTCTAATTATTTGGATGAAACAAAGTGTGAAGTAAGGAAAACAAACAAAAAGACTCAATGTCAAGATCTCTACTCAAGTCCATTTCCACTCTTTGTTAACTGATATAAATTGGGCAAGTTCTTTCTTTTTTTTGTATTTTGTAATCTCATCTAAGGAATCCTGGTGTGTTGCTGTAGGATATGCACTGAATTGCTAGCCACAAGGTTGGTAGTTCAAGCCCACCAGCTGCTCCTCAGAAACCCTACATAGGGTCACTATGAATTGGAACCGATTAGACAGGCTCATCTGTGAGTTTATGGATATCTCATCCAGGGATTATCCTAGGAATCTCATGCTGATTCCACCAGCAAATAAAATTGTTTCACAAAATTTGCTCCTCGTGTCACTTTTGAATCATTACTTCAGCATTGACAGTATGACACCTGTGCTCTTTCCTGCTTGGATTCCTGATAAATAGTTTCTTCCACACTTAAGTTCTCAAGACCATTTGACAACTGATGCCATGGATTCCTTGGCATTTCATTGAACTTGGATAAGGCAAAGTTATTTAACAGTACAGGGTTTTATAGCGTTAAAAGACAAAGATTCATCACACAGAATCCTTGCTCATTATTTTAGGCTTTACTAATAAAATCAGCAATTCCTTAAATGATTACAAATTAGCAAAATGAATTGTTCATAGAGACCCAGTTCTTTTATATACTAAAAGCAATTAAAATACTAAAAAAAAACCAATCTAATTCTAAAAATGGACAGAGAGCAATGGTTCTCAACTGGGGTGATTGTCCCTGTCCAGAAACACTTGGCAATGTCTGAAGACATGTTGGTGTCCCTTGGGTGGTGCAAATGGTTAAAGCACTTATATGCTAGTTGAAAGGTTGATAGTTTGGGTCCATCTAGAATTACCTTGAAATAAAACCTGGTGATCTACTTCTGAAAAAGCAGCTATTGAAAACGTTATGGAGCACCATTCTCCTCTGGGAGTACCATGAATTGGAGTTGACTTGAAAGCAATTGTTCTTTGTAGGGAGACAGTTTTTGTTGTCACACTAGATGTTTTACAGGCATCCAGTGAATAAAGGCCAGGGATGCTGCTAAATATCCTATGATGTACAGACAATGCCTACAATAAAAAATTACTGGCCCAATAGTGCTAAGGTTGAGAAACCCTAACTTTGGCATTTCACGAGTAACAGGAAATGTAAGCCTGAGAGATATATTGAGGGATATTTTTTTCGGTATTGCATATCTAAAATACCAGACTACGTCAGTACTCAGTCTGTCCTCTTACACTAATCACGGTCCTGTCTCCTAACCTGTATTCGGTGCTCACTCTGTTCCCAGGATTAGCTGGCCCAGCCTCCTCCTGCTGTGGGAATTGACTCAAGGCTAATGAAACAACAGCATCCTCATCCTAGTCTCCTTCAAGGCCCAGCATAAATAGCTTTTCTTTTATAGAATGTGTTGCTGGCTGATTAGTTGAGAGAGGAGAAACTGTCAGAGATGCCTTGCAGGAAATTCCTAGAACAAATGGGGATTGATTGAAAAGATTTTACAGTTTCTTCCAATTGAACTGTCTAATATTGATTCTACCTGGAAAAAACTCCCTTTGAACTTGTCCCTGGACATTCACTTTTCCTTTGTATGTTGAAATACTTAAAAGAAAAGCAAGCCCATGGCCAGTGAGTCAATTCCAACTTGGATGGACCCTATGTAGCCAGGGTGGGGAGCATCTGGCCAGCAGGCCATATTGTTGTTGTTATTGTTGTTGTTAAGTGCCTTTGAGTCAGTTACAACTCATAGTGATCCTGTATAGGGTTTCTGAGGAGCAACTAGTGAACTTGAACTGCCGATGTTGCACTCCAAACAAACTTTGCAATCCAACACATTAACCCACCATATGGTGTTGGTGGCAGTTGTGTGCAGTTAGTAGCCCAATGTCTAACCCACAGTGCCACCAAGGTTTTTAATGTGTTGTTATTGTAAAGTGCCATTCAGTAGGTTCCAACTAGTATGAACCCTGTATAGGTTTCCAAGTAGCAGTTGGTGGGGTTGAACCACCAACCTTGCCATTAGCAGTACAGTGCTTATCCTACAGTGCCACACCAGGACTCCTCTTAATGTGTTGTTGCTAAGTGCCATCCAATCGGTTCTAACTCAGAGTGACACTGTATAGGGGTTCCAAGGAGCAACTGGTGACTTTGAACTGCTGACTTTGTGGTTTTCAATTCAGTGCTGATCCTACAGCGCCACATCAGGAGTCCCTCTTAATGTGTAATAACCAACAAATCAAACTCACTGCCTTCAAGTCAATTCTGACCCATAGTGATTCTATATAGAGTTTTTCAGACTGTAAATCTGCATGGAAACAAACAGCCCCATCTTTCTCCCTTGGAGATGCTGATGGTTTTGAATTGTTAGCCTTGCAGCATGCAGCAAGGAGGTTGTGGTGCTGTGCGTTAATGCGCTGGACTGCAGAGTCGCTTTGAACCACAAGGTTGGCAGGTCATGCTCACCAGCTGCTCCTTGAAAACCCTATACAGAGTCATTATGGGTCAGAACCAACTCAGTGACACTTAACAACAACAAAATTAATGATCATGTAGCATTTGGATGGGGCATGAGCACTGTAAGACAGTAGGTTAAGACCGTGGGCTTTAATTCCAAAGACACAAGTTAGAATATCACCTATACCAAAATAGAATTTTTGACAATCAGATAGTTAAACTTTTTAGATTTCAAAACTCCAGTTTGTAAAATGGAAATAATTATAGCCCCTCTTTGGCTTGTTGGAATATTAAATGAGATAATGGTCACAAAGCATATAGTACAGTGCCTGGCACACAATAACCACTCAGCAAATATCATTTACTCATTTTCAGTCCTTAAAATAATGTTTATAAGAACTTGGTTAATATGTAAAATGCCAGTGCATCATTTGAAATGAAAACTTCAGACATAAGTCTCTTATTTCAACAACGTGTACGCACAGAAAAAGAAAGAAGACTGAAACGTAATATACCAAAGTGCTGATAGGAGATTGTGGGAGATTTATTTATTCATGTTTGATTTGTGTATTTTAAATGTTTTATAGAATGTTCTAAAGTAAGTTCTAAAATTAAAAATTGAATACTATAAAATGATACTAAATACATCTCTTAATTTATACTTAGTGTTCTTTATTAGGCTAGAACTTTGCCATTATTAAATGGGAATGTAACCATTATTTTAATTTTGTTCTAGACCACTGAAAATAAAGATGTTAATGAGTTTTTAGATCCTATTTCTCTAAATTCCCGAGAATATTTCAACATCCACCTGTGGTTGAGGTGTCGTTTAGCATTGGTGACCGCATTTGTTGCTCAGGTTAATGGCATCGGAATCATAAAAGGTACAAATGGCCTATTTTCTTAATGAGTGTTTTCAGAAACATAAATTTTATTTAAAGGGTTTTATCTGGATACATTTTATTATAACATTAGCACTTCTTAACTTCTTAGGCTGATCTTTTCCAGAATTAAAAAAAAAAAAAAAAAATCAGTGTATTTAAATAAGAGCAGTCACTGAACAGGACGTATATGTTACCAATGTATACAACACAGGCAAGGAGATTTCAGAATCTCGGGTCTTCTCATCATCTCAGCATGCTACATAGTGTAGGGGCTGAGGGCAGAGAGAGTCCAGAGCAACTGCCCATGAGTTCAAGCTCTGGGCTGCCCTTCCTTCCTGTGTACCCATAGTGCCTCAGTGCCCTCCTCTGCATATTGGGTGTCAAACTACTTGTACCTCCCTCACTACTGTTGTGAAGTGCTGAGAGTGGCCCTGTGGGGTTTCTGAGGAGAGGCTGGTGAGTTTGAACCACTGACCTTGCAATCCAAACCGACCTTGTGCTTATCCTATAGGTTGTTGTCATAATTAAGGGGGTTAAACTGTATAAAGTCTTTGAACAAATCCTGGCACACACATGTAAATGTTCGTTAGCTCTTACAGTAATGGACAATTACAGTATTTGTTTGTATACTCATCTGTCCACTTATCTTGTCCGGCTCCCAGAATTAAATTATTTTATGTTATCTCATTATATTACTTTTCCAGCATTGGAAAATCCTAAAGTACTTCACCCCGCCCCCACACATATCTTTTCAGTGTTCCATGTTGAGTCTCTTTGATTTCAGTCCTCACACCCTCCTGCTCTGTACTTTACTCACATTCCTGTGATGAAACTGGGGCTATTGTAAATTCTTACTTCCTCAACACAATTTAAATAACCTCATTTGTTTATTTTAGAGAACGATATGACAGACTGTGGGAGCCTCATCAGTGAAGTGTGTGTGGAGGCACAGAATGCAGGTGACGGGGAGCTACAGGCTGAATTCTTAATGCAAGCTGTAATCCTTGGCCTACAAGAAAAACATTTGAAGGCAGATATCATCACAAATCTTCAAGTATGAAGGGGAAACCTGGTTTACATTTATACTTAGGGGAGGATTGAAAGTAGAACAAAAGGAGGGGATTGTAAATTTCTCAACAGGGCAATGAGTCTGCACCAATCAACATGGCCAGCTCTTCTTTCAGTAAGTTCGAAAGTATACTATCAAAAGGAATCCTATTCTTTTTTTAACAGAATATAATCCATCTGCTTGAAGGAAATCAGTTTCTTTCTCCTCGATCTTCTTTAACACTGGCTAGAAGCTTTCTTTTGCTGGATGACTTAACAAAAGCGGAAACACTCAGGGAAACCTCTTCTTCAGAAACAGATCATTTCAGTTTGTTGGCTCAGGCTCACAACATTGTTATTGAGCAGGTGAGAATGCTTTCATGCAGACTCAAAAACTTACTCCTCCAGTCTCCTCTCTTTGTTACAGACGACATCATTTATTGCTCATAACAATGCTTTAATTTTTTTTTTTTTTTGTAGATGCTAACTTTTGGAGAAACAATTGGATTTCCAGTATCAAGCACTGAATATGCAAATCCAATTCAACCTTTGAAAAATATCTATCTTCCTCATGTCATGTTATTAGCCAAAATTAAAATGAGAATTGGTAAGGTGATTTAAACATATGTTATACCAGAGTCAAAAATGAAAACAATGAAGTTATTTTCAGGCAGTGCATTTAAATGAAACAATATTCATAATGCCCAAACTTTATTTATTCACCGAATAGTTTTGGATCTCCTACAATGTGCCAGACTCTGCATGAGACCCAAGGAATTTTCTGGCAATTAAAGCAGATTTATAGGATAAGTACTCAACTGCAAGGTCATTTTGAACCGTGAGGTCGGTGGTTCAAATTCACCAGCCCTTCTTGGAAACCCTATATAGGGTTGCTATGCATCAGATCCTACTCAATGGCACATAACAACAACAACAACAAAACAGACCTAGTCCCTTTTCTTAGAAGTCATTGTAGTTGTTAAGTGCCATCAAGTCGGTTCAGACTCATAGCGAGGGTTTCCGAGGAGCGGCTGGTGAGCTTGAACTGCCGACCTTGCAATTCAAACAGACTTTGCAGTCCAGCATATTAACACACAGCGCCACACCAGGATAAACAAGTAAATAAAACATAGACAATAGTGACTCTTGGACTGCTGCTCTTAAAGAAAAATTATGGTATGATACTGTTTCCGAATTTCAATTGGTTGGTTGTAGGCCATGGAGTCGGTTCCAATTCATAGCGACCCTATGTATAGTTTCCAAAGCTATAAATCTTTATGAGAGCAGAAAGCCTCATCTTCTTCCTGCAGAACAGCTGGTAGTTTCAAACTTCTGACCTTAAGACTAGCAGCCCAGTCATAACCACTATACTATTAGAGCTCCTTATTTAACAATATAGAATGGTTTATTTTTTAATTTCCTGATTTTTACTTTATTTACTTCAACTTTGTATAACTAGCTTTTTCAATAAGTCACTGGTCCCTGGACCCATCTTACCCTGTTCCCACTTTTGTGCCCTGGACTTTATTTCCCAGTTCATTATTCAGGATTAGATTCAAGTGCCAGAGAAATGGATTTGGGGAAAAAAGCAGGGTGCCCCTTCTAAATGACTACTCTTATAATACTCACCACATGACTTGTGTTAAGAACAGCTTACTTGTCTGAAATCTATAAATATAGAATTCTAAAGGTAAGATTTTATTTGTCCACTTAATATCCCAGATACTTAGTACAGTACCTAAATCAGAACCAACCAATTAATCCGCAATGTTACAGTCCAACTTCATTCATCCAATGAAATACTATGCAACCACTAGAAATGATATTGCATAATAGTTTTTATACAGTAGAAAGATGCTCGTGCTATATTGGAACAATTTATAAAATAGCTATACATAATGATACCATTGGAAAACAAAGACAAGAAGGATTAATGTTTAAATGTTCACAGAGGTTCCCTTTGGTGAATGTGATCATGGATGATGTTCATTTGCTTCTTTTTTATTTATCTCTCTTTAAGTTTCCACAATAATGCATATAATTTTTGTAATAAGAAAAAATCAAGAAATCATTTTTAGTGTATTCTATTTTCAGATTTTCTTCATATGAAGATTAAGATGATTTAATGAAAATTAGGAGTCCTGGTGTGGCGCTGTGGGTTAATGCACTGGACCACAAGATCGATTTGAGCCACAAAGTTGGCTGTTCGTTTACCAGCTGCAACTTGGAAACCCTATACAGGGTCACTATGAGTCAGAATCTACTCGGTTGCATTTAACAGTAACAATGAAAGTTAAGCAACTAGCACAATTTCTGGCACATAGCATGTGATCAGTAAATATTAGATCCTTTAAAAATTATGTGAAGAAACTGAATTTGTGTTATGAAAAGAAGACCAGCAGTGTGGGACCTTGGTTGTTATTAAATACCATAGAGTCAGTTCTGACCCATAGTGACCCTATATAGGGTTTCTGAGGAGCAACTGGTGAGCTTGAACCTCCAATCTTGCAGTTCAAACAGACTTTGTATTCCAGCACATTAACCCACAGCACCACACCAGGACTCTGTGGAGAGTGTACAGCGTGCCAGTATAATTAGGATTTGGAGTCTGGAGAACTTCGGCTTGAGCTCCTTTGTTACCACTTATTTATTTGATCTTAGAAATGATTTGGGGTCCTGGTATGGTGCCTTAGGATAAGCACTGGACTGACTACTAACTGCAAGGTCGGCTCCTTGGGAACACTTTAAGATTCCCTGAGTTGGAATTGGCTTAATGGTACTTCACAACAGAAATTATTTCAGCTCTTCGATTCCAAATCCATATCTGAAAAATGAGGGGAGAGCTAATTACTTTATATATTTGGAATAATCAAATGAGATAAATTATATGGCAATCAGACAATAAATGGTAGGTGCTATTTTTATTATTATGAATCCCTGATGTCATGTGGGGTTAAGCATCCTCTCCAGGAGAAGGCTTAAGCTGCCTGCTTCTATAGCTATTTATAGCCTTAAAAACCGTATGAAGCAGTTCTACTCTGTTCTGTCGGGTCACTTTGAGTGGGCATCAGCTTCATGGCAGTAAGTGGTGGTAATGACTCCTATTATTTCTTCCATGTTTATGAAGAAGCCCCAGTGGATAAGAACTAAACTGAAAACTCCAAGGTCAGTGGTTCAAAACCACCAGTAGCTCCACTGGAGAACAATGAAACTATCTGCTCTCCTAAAATCTCAGATATCCAACATAGGATCACTTTAAGTCAAAATTGAGTGTTTCTTTTGTTGTTGTGTATGTTTATTATTTACTTCATGGAGCCCTGGTGTGGTGCTGTAGGATAAGCACTAGGGTGCTAACTGCAAGGTGGGTGGTTTAAACCTATCAGCCACTCCTCAGAATCCCTACACAGGGTTGTTATGAGTTAAAACCGACTTTATGACACTTAACGTTACTTATTTTAGTTTGTTTATCTTTGTTGGTTTGATTAAGCTATTATTGATCACATTTTGAAAGTATTAATTTATAAACTCTATGTTGTTGAGTGCTGTTGAGTCAGTTCCGACCCACAGTGACCCTGTATAGGGTTTCCGAGGAGTGGTTGGTGAGCTTGAACCGACCTGTTGGTTCAAAATGACTTTGAAGTCCAGCACATTAACCCATAGCACCACACCAGGACTCCATAAGCTCTATAGTGGAGCACTTAACACAACAATAATGGAGTCCTGGTATGATGCTGCAGGGTAAGCACTGGACTGCTAATGAGGTCAGTGGTTCAAACCACTAGTAACTACTTGGAAACCCTAGAGATACAGGGTCACTGAGGGTCAGAACCGAGTCTACTGCATTTAACAGAAACAACAACAACATAGTCCTGGTGTGGTGTTACAGAATAAGCACCGAAAGGTCCGTAGCTCAAACTCACCATCTACTCCTCAGAAACCCTATACAGGGTCACTATGAGTCAGAACCAACGTAACAACACTAACAACAGCACCATTACAGTTTTGGAAGGAACTCTGGTGGCACAGTGGGTTAAACGTTGGGTTGCTAACAGAAGGGTTGGTGGTTTGAATCCATCAGTTGCCCCACGGTCTACTTCCATAAAGATTTACAGTCATAAATCTTTAAAACCCACGGGGCAGTTCTACTCTGTTCTGTAGGGTTGTTCTGAGTCCGAATTGACTCAGCCACAGTAGGTTTGGTTTGGTTTGCCTTATTTTTGAGGGAGGACCCGGGTTTTGCAAATGGTTAAGCACTGAACAAGTAGCTGGAAGTGGAGTGTCAAACCGCCCAGGCAAGCCTTAAATGGCCTGTGGTGTGGCTCTCTCTTTACAAAAGGTCAGAGCCCTGCAAACCCTCTAGATCATAGTTCTACTCTGCCACACTGGGTCACCATAAACCAGAAGCAACCAAAGACAATTGTTTTGGTATTTTGTTATCATGTTTTTCCTTTCCTTCCTCAAACCCAACAGATTCCTCTCCCCAGTATGTTTTTGGCTGATCTTTTAGGTTCTTTCACCAAGATGATAAAATCTTTTGATAAATTTTGTTTCCGTACATCTCACTTTCTAAAATAGATATCTAGAATTTATTTTGCCATTCTTTGCCACTTTCTTTACCGCCTAGATTTTAGTATTTTTGTTATAAGACTTTGTTGTTTGTTTGTTTTTTCCTTTGGAATACTGCTTTTCTTTTTAAAGAAATTCTACATTTTAATGATCCAGCCTCAGGTATTCTGACTTTCCTATTACTATTAACCTATTAGGAAGCACGGGCTGCTGCTCATCACTTCCTCGTCTTTTATATCTTTCCTGTCTTTCAATCTTTGTTTTGCTTCATGGGTTATTGATTGAGTCCCCCACTATCCCACTTTTTTTTTAGTGTTTTTCTCAGATGGGGTACCTGAGAAAAATGGGCTGCTATTTTCTCTGAATCTGTGTTCTCTGCAAATACCATTTTTGCTCTGTGACAGTTGAGTGATATGCTGTCTCAGCTGAGTATTAGAATTGTACAGTGTGACCATAGATAGATTCCATAGATGTTATTCTATCATTTCTTACTTTGAATGTTGTAAATGAGAATTGTTATGCCAGTCTGATTCTTTTACTTTTGACAAGAAATTTGCTCTTTCTCTCTGAATACTCACAAAAATTTCCCCATTATCCCTGGAGCTCAGGAATTTTACAAGCATATATCTGGGTGTGCGTCTTTTCTTTCTCTGCTTAGGACTCAGTGGGTCCCTTCAATTTGCAGACATTGTTTATCAGCTCAGGGAAATTTTCTTCTTGCTTAGCTATCACCTAGCCACTCTGGAGTCACCCTTTCTAGGTTTAAATCTTAAGCATGTGACTTCTTTGTGCTTCAGTTTTCTCATCTCTAAAATGGAGATCATTATAGGACCTACCTCATTTGGTTTCTGAGATTCAGTAGAGTAAATCCTTGAAACAGTGCCCAACCCAAAGGAAGCAAAATCTAAACAGTGTTACTATTTGTCAAATATTTCATTTTACTTAGATCCACTATCAACACTCGTGGAAGCAGCAGTCAAGAATTTGAACCATGTATTGCATTAGGCAAATCTGCTGCACAAGATCTCTTTGAAGTGTTTC